CGACGCCTAAGCCCAGTGTGTGGGGAAGTGGCAGCAGGAAGCCATCCTGCTGGTCCTGCCCTTCCTGGTGTCCTCCTTCAATGTGCTGATGCCCCACCTGTACAACTGGCTGACAATGTGGGAGAAGCACGACTCCCCCGTGGCAGAGGTCTACGTGGCGATCTGCAGGTAGGCTGGCCGGGACCGGGGTGGGGGAGCGTCCTGCAACCCCCCCTGTGGTGTGCAGGGACGCTTTGGGGCCGGGCACCCCGTCCGCAGGGCTCGGCCCCTCCATCCCCACAGCTCAAGGGCTCCTGGCCCCCTCCTGCTCCCCAGGAACCTCATCCTGAAGATGGTGGTCCTCGGCCTGCTCTGCTACCAGTGGTTGAGCCGGAGAGTTGTCTGCTCGACGGAGGAGGTCGGTGCTGCCGCCCCGGGGCCGTGCAGGGCTGGGCTCTGTGCAGATCTGTGTGAGGAGTGCATGGCGCTCGTGTGAGCTGGCTGGGCCACGCCGGCTGGGCTGTCCCTTGTCCAGGGAGTGCGGAGCAAAGCCAAGGCTGCAGTCCCAGCACCGGCAGGGGCAGGGGGCTGGCAGCCAGGGGCCTGGCGGCCCTTTTTTTTCGGCCGCCCCCGCAGCCCCCATCGGCTCCTTTGCCAGGGAGAGGGGGTCAACAGCCAGACAGGGGCACCTCAAACATTTGGTGGCTGGGGAAAAAAGGGGTGCAGGAGAGGAAAAGGTCCCACAGCCCCTCACACCCCATGGGGGCCACGGAAAAGCCATGGGGGGGAGGAGAGGCCTCATTGTACACTTGCTGCCACCTTTGCTTGTCTCTCCAGTGCTGGGAGACGTGTGTGGGGCAGGAGCTGTACCGCTTCGTGGTGATGGACTTCATATTCACCCTGCTGGACACGCTCTTTGGGGAGCTGGTCTGGAGGTAACATTCCCCGGGAGGGGTTCCCCCGCTGGCACGGCTTCCCCGGCACAGCCCCGGCTCTCCGCTGCCCGGGCAGCGCTGCCCTGCTGCACCCAGGCTCTGCCGCTGTCGGAGGGGGAAGATGGGTTGCCGGGCGTCCCCCGCAAGGGCGGTGAGGGAGTAGAGCTCCGCTCCTTCCCAGGCTGATCTTGGAGAAGAGGCTGAAGAGGAACCAGAAGCCCGAGTTTGACATCGCCCGAAATGTGCTGGAGCTGATCTACGGGCAAACCCTGACCTGGTGAGATGCCACCTTACCTGGCGTGGCTCTGCTGGCGAATGCCTCGTGGTCCCCTGTGAGCCCCGCAGCTGGCAGGGAC